TTTTGCCCATCGGATCCAAAGAAGGGAACAGGATGGCAAAAGTTTGCATAAAGCACACTCCTACCATGCCTGCCTGACAGCAGTGGCATTAACTTACCCTTTCAGCCACAATCAGTTAAATATAAAACCAGACTTGCATTTTTCCTTTACATACTCAGAAAAGGAAATCCACATGTTTATATTCAAAACCCACATTCAAATATACCACTGGTCAAATCTTACCATCTTACTGTGTCTGACAGGCCAAATCTGTCTTTGCAGAAAAGCTCCCCCCTTCCCCATCCCCTGTTGCCCCTAGAACAACCTTCCACCCCATCTCCAGGCTCTTCTAATACGACAGCATCAGACATTGGTGCTGGGACGCGACTGTTACGGTGTGCTGGTGCTTCCATTACACACAGCTATTTTCAAAAGCTTACAACTGAGCTTTAAAGTTCACTTCATGCTGCAGCTTGGCATCCAGTACCATTTCTGGGCAAACCGAAGAAAATGTATGGCAGTTTTTCAGTCGCAAGTGACACATCAGCAACTGAGTTATGCGGTTGAGATTTAACTTTTGACCTTCAAAATAAGATCCCTTCCATCCACTTCTAACATTTTGCAGGGGATTTTTTCACCCCCCCAATGCCTGTTTCTCATGGAGCTGCCTTCCAGCACCCTTCCCACCATACCTGTGGGCACCTAAGCAGAGCCTGACTTTGCAAATGCTCCTTTGGGACAGACAGACCCTGCAAAAGTGGTCCCAGTGATTCCAACACCACTAGACAGGCACTTCTTGGTACCACACTTGGTAACACCTTTCTTGTTTTTCCCACAGAGTCTGTGTATGGAGGTCTATACGTAACAACGCTCAGTTCTCTTCTATGGTCTTGGCTCATGCAAGCAGATTGATCGACAGTGTTTTATATGTTTGCTGAGCTCTTTGCAATAAAGGCTGATTCCTTAAAAATAAAACAGAAGGAATGCTGTGGTATTGTATTACAGTATTCTAGCTCTCAAAAATGCTGCTGTGTTGTTTTAGGCTATGGTCTAACGTCACAGATGTTCCCTTTCTGAAAATGGAGGGAAAGATCAAAGCACCATTACCCTTAACTGGGAATTACAGGCCTTTATTTTTTAAGAGGATGTAGAGCTTTATTCTTTGGTGGACGATGTTTTTTCATTTGATAAGAGGACCCAAGTTGGCGTGCAGTGTGGTTTCCTTTGTTAGTCAAAACAATCTACCTTCAGATTAAATATTTTTATTACATGAAGAATTGAAAGGAGGAAGAATTCAACAGCTGGAATCCACAGATCTGTTCTCCAATATTTAGAATTTGTGGTTTTGTTTGTATCTTTATGATACTACGTACCATCCTATATTATAACATTAAAACAATTCATCAAAGGTCCTATGATAAAGAATCGCAAAGAAATTGAAATCCTTCAAATATACCATCAGTTTCACATACCTTCAGTTCTGCCAAGCTACTTCTCTACATATAGTTAGAGAACATTTCAGATACTCAGACTTAGCCTTGCATCATCAGCACAATTTATATAGAAGAGAATTAAACAGTAACAAAAAACCCGCACCATTTGTCACTGTCACTTGAAACTTAAGACTAAAATTTATTTTTTCCAGAATGCTGCATTTTAACAATGGTTGATTCTCTCTTTAATGTGAAAGCACTGACGTTTCACTTACTTACATTACAACATCACTCTGGGCTATTGGAGCTTTTTTACCTGGCCATCAAACACCACACCTAGTAAAAAGCAGTGTATGGGGACCATGCCATTTCTCTCCTGGATAAAACTTCCTTCCACTTAGCAGCCACAAAGGACATGAGACAATGTACTTCAGGATACTTACTGCACATCTCAGGTGAGTAAAATAATTCTGCCTTCACTCTCACACCTCCAGACATTTCAGGACATAGAATAACCCAGGAACAACCTGCCCCAATCTTGCTGCTAAAGTATGACTTTCAGATGATAAACTGCCGTATGCAATCCTGTTCTGCCAGGTGCAACTCCAACATCTTACCCACAGCTGCTGTACCCAGGCAAGAAAACTAGTGTAAGCAAGTGGACTATTGCGCTAGGAAGAAATGCACAAATTTTATTTTTTAAACATCACTGGACTGAAAAATAGAGAGTCATATGGCTTATTTATATTTCAGGAGATGGTAGTGAATAAGTTAAAGAATATTTCATCCCAAAACATACGTTGCTTTCATTTATAGCTAAGCTAATGTACACATATGTTTTCTTATTTTCATAATTGTCAAGCACTCACCTTTCCCCCCCCACAAAGATTTACAAGTACATGCGTGGCACTTCCTACAAAGCTGTCGTGGGCTAAAGGCTTACAAACAATTTTTTTTTTTTGAATAAGAAATATCCGTCAGACCAATAGATAATCATTTAAATCCAACTTCTTCCTGAGCAACTTAAAATTTGGAATGTGCTGAAAAGTTTCAATAAATAAGTCAAAGATTAACCAGCTTAAAACGTACCTTTTAACAATTAAGTAAAATATATTTCATGACAGACAAATAGGCCATAGGACCAGGAATCTTAGATGCTATGTGCCAGATAAATTTATGAAGTACCATTCAAGGAGGAGAGGCCAGGTTGATTGTTAAGAAAAATACAACAACATTAAAACCTAGCGAGTAAATCATTAAACAGGTTTTGTATTTAGGTTATAAGTAGTGATGGCTGAAGATACCATTAAATAAACAGATAAAAATAGACTTTATGGTAAGCGGCAGTGAACTTGCAGGAAGGGTGAATGTGTTAAGTGACTGATTATTCTGTTACAACGTTGGCAACAAGGATTTAAACAGAATTTCAGAAAGGTGAGAATATTAGTTTTCTTTCCAAAATATAACAGCTCCACAGTGTGTAAACTAATCATTACTCTCTCAATGTAATTTCACAGAAACCACTTAAAATATACAATGCAGCAGATTTGTATTTTAGCTAATATGTTAGTTGTTATCTGTGCCATTTTCAGCTTTCTTTAACGTGCTCCCCCACGGTAGTGCATTGCTACCACCAACCCGGCATGTTAATAATGAGAATAGAATCTTCTACATAATATTTTCTGTAAGTTAACATCTTGTCTTAACACGATTACGCTTCTTTATTTTCGTTCTCTGCATGTAGGTACAGTAAAGACTGACTGGTGATGAAGATGGACCATAATGTTTATTGGCTCTCAGCAGGCTCATGGAAGAGGAAACCCTTGGGAAGCACATTTGAGCTTAGTCCGAGTTTATATGCCTCGTCCATCACAAAATAACTTTTGCTTGTTATTGCAAACTGAAGTATGACCTTGCAGATGGCAGACACGCTACTGAGACAGCCACAGAATTGGAAGCAAAAATTGCCTGGCAGATGTTTGAGACAGGACGCGAGTTAGACAGAGGTGCATCGCCCTTGATGCGTTACTGGGACTCATCCTGGGAAGGAGCTGCAACTCCTTGGCCCTGCTTCTTGCCTGTGCTCTAGGACAGGAATTTATTGCTATTATCCTCTACTAGTCCAGCCTCCTCTGGCAACAACGGTGCACAAGAGGCCAAATCCCCCCCATTCTGCAGGTGGCCAAACAGCTCTGCCCATTGCTGCCTGCAGGTCTGTCACTTCTGCACCACCAGTCCTGGCAGGCTGTTGAATAGCCGGCAAGCCTGCACGTCACAGGGAACCCCAGGGACACCCACCTTAAAGACAACAGCATGTCACATATTGGAGCTATTCCCCTTTCCCTTCCCAGCCTCCACCCATCCCCTTTCTAGTGTTTGCTGATAATACATGTAGTGATTGACACGGGTAACTTTCACAGTGCCTCTCTTAACAACATATCATTGAATCGGCTTTGGTTTCACAGAGCATACCTTCTTTTCTGTTTTATCATTCTGAAATATTGCAACTAGAGAAGTTGTGTATGTCCATATTGTTAATTTTACTTCTAGCCATGCTAAAGGCAGGCATCTGGTGTTTGCACTGGTGGGGCAGCTGCGTTCAGCTTCAAACGTGAACAACTAAATTCTGTGATTGCAGAAAAACAGGTCATGCTTAAAAGGAGTTCCAGATCATCTATGTTTTTTTCATGAATGACTTCTTCTGTATCTCTTTGGATTTGCGACCCATAAGAAGAATAAAAATCTACAAATACCCTTCCTGAACATAAAACCCATACGCTGCACCTTTTCCTTCAGAGTGTAATAGAGGTGTACTCAACTGCAGAAACCAAATTCTACCATTTAGGTAGCCCTGCCTTGCACTTTTCATCTGTTGTGGCCATTCACTGACTTGGTAACTTTTTCCACTCTATGAATTAGAACGGTTTACCAAAACCAACTGGTTCTTGTACCTTGCCTTATGTCCACTAATATTAATTTGCCAGAGTAGCAGCCTTGCTCCTCCCACAGAGGGTAATTCAGAAGCCATTATCTAGCCCCTTTCTGAGCCTGTTATCCTTGGATGTGCACAGACACAGCAATGGCTCTGACCATACCACTGGCATACCAGTGCGCTCTGGGCAGAAAGAGGCACTCTTCCCAAATGGCTCACTGCCCGCAGTTCACATTGCCGGTAGTTAATGCTGCAGTGTTATGCAACAAGGACTTGTTTCTGGAGAAGGAGAGAGACGAGAGTCTGTAAAATTCACTTTTCAAGACCGCCTAATCTACTCTTTTACGTTCTGCAGGTTCCCAGAGGACTACTGTATACTCCAAAAGTTATTTTGTGATAGACAGTAGATAGATACTTCTCTCCTGAACTATGCTATAGCAAGGATGCTATAGAGCCAACACCGTATACTGAATCAAACCTGCAAAACCAGGTATCTCCCCATGGCCCCAGCATGTGGGAATGGTCTCTTCTGTTCCGTTTCAAATGCTGCTGCGCATTAACTCAGTTCCTTAAGGAATTACTTTTAATAATAATTAAAAAAAATCTTAAGAAAGCTGGAGGGGTCACCAGAAGAGACAGGATAGCTCTTCCATCCATCACCTTTTATAGATATCCTCTAGCCACTTTTCATCATCTTCTTCCTCATCATCTATCGGTTCCTCTGTTTCCAGGGGAGAAGGAATGAAGAACTCAGGTCTGGGACGTGGTTTCCTGATATGAGACTTCAGTCCAAACTTGCGCTTCAGCAGGTGGAACTGTTCTTTGACATAGTAATAAAACTCATATTCGTATCTCATGCGTTGGTAGAGGATCTGTATTGCTTCTGGAGAGGGGACGGTCTTTTTCACTGTCACAGTCAGATTGCCAAGTTTCCTATGTTCTGTAAAAAAGAAAACAAGCAACATGGTGGGTGCTGATTAATGAGACCGGACCTAAACTGTTTTTTAAAAGATTAAGGCATGGCCCTACTGCATTACTGATACAAAAGAGCTCAATCTGCCTCCTTAATAATGGATTTACTTTTAACAAGAGATGAAAAAATATAGATGTTTGAAGTTAGACTTGCATGTTTAAATATGGCTAGTTCATACATGGCATTTGGCGTTGCATGTAGTCACTGAGAATCTTAATTAGCAATGCTTATCTGAAAATGCAAATTAGGTCATACCAATTATGAGCATAAACTACACATACAGAAACCCATAACCTTGCCTAGCTTTGGAAATTTTGCCTGATGCATGTGAAGCATATATCCAGCACACAGCTGAGCTGAACTAATCAATTATTTCCTGTGTGGCATACTACACTGTGGCTTTATTATTGTTCAAATCTAAACAGAAATTTATCAACCTGAATCCATCCCAGGCTAGCACCGAAGCATTGTTGGCATTGCCACATGACACCTCAAGACTGAATGTGCCCATTGACTTTCTCATCCTGTTATAACTGTTAATTAAATTAGACTCATCTTCCTGTCGTGTCCTGGGACTGGAAGATTTCAGTATGTTTTTCTTCACCTGACAACTTTTGCTTTGGTAAACTGAAATAAAACACCTTTATTGTTGATAAAGAATTAGAGTTACTAACAAAAATACTGAATTGCCTCTTTGCCTCCTCTCTAAATAGATTATTCTACCATTGGAGATGAATGTATTTGAACAAGGTGTAAAGCAAACTCTCAAGGCAATCATTTTGCTGTTTTCTACCAGATGTCAACAGGCTGCCAGAGCATCCTAAGAATTTTCTTCTTCTCTAAGACAGAAACATAACTGAAAGTCAACTGTGAAGAAAACAACAGAAAAAGCTGGAAGTATTGACCTGTAGCATCACTGTATCCCCCCTAACAACTGCAGCTTCTAGGAGAAGTGGAGATGAACATTACACTGATGAAGTACTAGCTTCTATAAATAGGTTTTCTGAAAGCTCAGTGCTCCAATCCAGTAAGCCTCATGTATTACTCTGAGAGAACGTGATGCTCATGGAACTGACTGTAATAGCCTCAGAATACACCTGGGTCCAGACACGGCAAGATGAATGGGCTTGCATGGAAGCAAGGAGATGCCAGTTAGACGTTAGTAAAAAACCTCTTTCATGGCAAGGATAGTTAGGCAGTGCAGTAGAGCATACAAGTTAGAAAAGCTGTATCTCTGGAGGATTTTAAGAGCAAATTAATTGATTCTCTCCTGAGGGAAGCCACTTGAGGGGCATCTTAAGGACATCTTCCATGACTCTAAACCCAATAGATTAATTTTAATCTTGCCAGTGCTTACTTCACTTCCTTGCTCTTTGCTACAACAGCAAGGTCTGCAGGAGAACTGCGTTTTTTTGTTCCAGGATAATGTCTTGGCTTCTGCTGCTCATTCTTTCCTTAATATTTATATCCTCTATTTGTGCTGCCTCAAATGCCAAACAGAAATCCCCGTATTCTGCATGACCACACAGATAAACTGTTGCAGTGAAGAAGAGCTTGATTTTGATATAGAAACCTAATTCTTATTGTAACAGCAGTTCTGCAAGTTGGAGGATTTCAAAAGGGTCGGGCCATGAAGCACGGCAATAAAAAAAACTTACAAGGAGGAAGCAGACAACAAAGACCATTTCATGTTTCCAGCTGGTTCCCAGAGGCAGCAACCACCCTTGCTTCCAGAGGGAGTCCCTGAATCAAAATGGGGTTTTACCATGGACAGAGTTTTGCTCACGTGAGCAGTCCAAACTGAAGCCTTCTGAAGCACATGCCAGCAAGGCTAAACGCATGCTTAGCAGCTCTACAAAGAAACATTTTCACAATTGCTTACGCGTAAGGCTAAGGGATGGATCAATAGTTCCTAGTAGCAAAAGTGAGCTGTTCTTGGGAGTCCACAAGCAATATGTTCATCCAAGAGAAATAATCAAGAATAACTTTTTAGGGAAGAGAGGAATTTTAAGCAATGGCAAACCCATTTATTTCAAAAGTTAATAAAAGATGAGTAAGTCCAGCTAGCAAACACAACAGCACTGCTCTTTAGACAAAAAGTTGGTATTATGCAAGATTTGTAATCTTGAGAAGTATGACAGGAAGGTAGAGCACAGCTATGTGAACATGAATGGCTTTCTTTACATTTTCAAAGATTGATGTTCATATAGCTTAGGGTATCCACACCTATAAACACTACAATTTTCAGACAATGGACACACGTTTTCCTACTTCAGAGTAAAGGAATTAAAGAAGAACTGAGAACCACACATTTTAGTAACACTACATGAGACAGCAAGTGCTGCTGCGCTGGACATTCTCGTATTCATTTGACTCCATTGCGTCACATGCATCTGGTGCAGAAGAAAAAAATCTGTATCTGAAAGAGGTATTCTCCCTCTCAGTTTTGCTTACCAATTACAGCAGAGTAATCTGAAATGTAGGAAGAATAAGATACAAAGAGAGAATAGGTTGACTAGCTTACCAAACGTAATGCTGTTCTAAATCACAAAAAAAATTATTTAAAGCATTAATTCTATTTTGAATTTGTACTTTTACTTCCTTCTCTAATGGAAGACTGGTTTTCATTAGTTGGTAAAAATTAAAACATGCTGTCTGTAATTAAATGGAGCTTTTACATCAAACTTTGTAGTTCTTTACACTGAAATCTGTCTCTACTCATATATCTACGTAATTAAACAACTTAGTACACAGAGTTCTTTGTTCTTTAATTTTAGCGATGTATGGTGGTATATGCTCTATACTTACTTGACTGTTCACAGTTTATCAATTTGTATAGTTTTGTTTAGACAGGAGTAAAATGATGAAAATATACAAAAAATGAATTAAAAATAAAGAAGTGATCTTTAACATGCTATCTAGCAAAAGGGTAGAGGAAGGATCATGAAATGCTTGGATTTAAAATAGACATCAGCATAGAAAGCACTACCTGTAGCTAGTGAATGGTGTGAAATATTTTTGGTGAAAATATTTGGGTTCCCAAGGGCTTATTCTCTTCTACACCACCTTTAGCCATAGACTGGAATAGATTAACAAATGTCTCATCTGTTTAAATTTTCAGTCAGTTGTTCTAGTTGCCATCGATGGGTATTAGATGAATACACTCCAGGAAGGACCCTGTACTCGGTCTGTCCTTGGGTGAGAAGGCAACCGCTGCCTCACGATTATTGAGCACTTCAAGACATTCCTCTTTCTGGTGCTTAGTTGGTAGCTCCCGCCAGCTTTGCAGTCTGGTTTTCTTTACAAACTCAGCAGCAAATGTACACTACTAAATATTGCATTTATTAAGCCTAAGCCTTTATACTGCTTGCCAACTTCATTTTTATTTTACATAGGTTATTTCTGTTACAGAAAACTCCATTTACCTCGCTGGAAAAAGCCCTTTACTTATATGATCCCTCCAGGACTCTAAGCGGGAAAAGCCACTTCTTACAGCTCCAGCTCCCTTTGGTGGCTGCTCCTCCCGGCAGAGAGGGGCACTTGTGTTCAGCCCAGGAGCGCTGCCAATGATGACAAGGTGAAAAGCGCTAGACTGTTTTCTTGGGGGGGCGGTCAGTGGGGGGCAAGACCAGCCAAAGGGGAATTTACTGGTGGTGGGCCAGGCAGGGAGCAGCCCGCTGGCACCCCATCTGCCAAACTGGCCAGGTCCTGCATGCCACCCTCGTGGTGGGCAGCGAGAAAGCAGCAAAATACTCTCCTCCTCTGAATTTGCAGTAGTCATGGCATAGAGGACTCCTGGACGTGTGCAATTCTTTGCACAGACACCTACGTCTATAGTTGTATACGTACGTACAGATAGAAACACCCGCACTCTGGAAGGCTATGGGGAGCAAGGCAGATGTTCTGGCTTCCGTTGGTTTGCCTTGCAGTATAATCACCAGTAACTGCAGCGCGTAAATAGCTGTGAGGTGCTGGTTGTCAGATGGCACGAGTTGGGGCTGTGCCTGGCGGCGGGCTCAGCCTTTTGGTAAAACAAGTGAACTCGCCTTCTTTGCACTTGAATTTTTAGACCGGTTTCTAATCTTAAATACTCTTAAAAGGCTCTTTAATACAAATATGAATGAAATCACAGAACCGTCGCTTGAAGTCACCTTAACCACCTCTCCTCATCATGGAAGCAAAATGGAAAAATTAGGTAGATCTGGCTTAAAGCCAAAATAACAATCTGCATATGCTACATAAACCCAGCTGCCCCACCAAAGGACCCCCCTTTTTATGACCTTTGAGACAGCTAACCATATGGAGGGCAACACACCACACCATTTACTTTTTAGGATTATTTTTTTAAAACTGTGTTTGCTTTGGCATTCTTTTAAATTACTAAAAAGAATGTACTATAGAGTAACCCAACCTCCCAGTGCAGCCTGCTCATGCCTTGAATTAAGACTAAATTGGTACGCAGATATGGATGAAGAAAATTAAATTCTTTGGGTTACCAGGTGATGAGTATCTACTATGACTTTCCCCGCTCTTGCTTTTTTCTTTTCTTTTTTCTTTTTTTCAAACTAAGAAATCAGCATTACGCACCGCAGCCATCCAAGCCATAGGGAAAAGTGGGTTTTATACTCGTGGCTCAAAACCCCTTGGATTGCCATATTTAGACAAAATGATCCTAAAGGCATTCTCCACCTCGGAAGAGAATTTCGGAGCGACGCCCTCTCCGGCGCCCCGCCGTTTCGGCGGGTGCGACGCAGAGGCTCGCTCCCCAGCGCTGCTCCTGGCCGAAGCCGCAGGGAGCCCAGCGCCCTCGGGGGTCCGGCGGGGAGAGGAGAGCCAGGCCGGAGCCAGCGCCGGACAGCTGCAGGCGAGCGTAACCGTGGGCTTGCCCGGCTAACGCTCACGGTGGAAAAACCGCACGCCGAGCTCTGCTGCTCTGAGGCTGTGTGAACACGACGGCTGTCACAGAT